CTGTGCTTGATCTGTGCAGATTATGTGAGAGACAACAGGAGATGCACTTTTTCACTGGAGGAAGAGTTATTATGGATTATGGACTCTGGTATTTTAGTTAAAAGCGTCTTAATGCTGGATTTGTTTCAGCTTTTGTCTTCTCCAGATGTTAACTGATGGACTGGAGTGCTGTGGATTACTTGTGGATTATTGTGATGTTTTTATCAGCTGTTTGGACTCTCATTCTGACGGCACCCATTCACTGCAGAGCATCCATTGCTGAGACACTGATGCAATGCTACATTTATACAAACCTGATGAAGAAACAAACTCATCCTAATCTGGGATGGCCGGAGGGTGAGCACATTTCCATTTTTGGGTGAACTGGTTCTTTAATCTACTTCCTGATCTAGTAGAACTGGACCAGAAAGGAGTTTGAAGAATTAAGGCCATGAATCGTGTCATGTGGACACTCAGTCATGTAGATGTTTCGTAAACAGCCTGGAGCAAATGCACAAATTGAGGCGTTCAGCTGTGGTTTTGTCAAAAGTACGAAATGAAGACAGAAAGAAATGACTTTCTCGGTTCATCAGAGGCAAAAGGCTTTAATGTGACGAACACAACGCACTGCTGGAGGAACGCTTTCCAGTAAATCTCCTTAGATGATAACAGAAGAGTTTATATCTGCAGGTCTTTCTCTCGATTAATAACTGAGAAGTGAGAACATGGACTCACTGATTGGTTTACGTTGGAACGGTTGTGATGAGATTGTTAGCAGCACTGGAGAAGCAGACGTTATAAACGCCATCATCATGACTTCAAAGCTGCCCAGAATGATTAGTGCATGTAACTTACTTTACAAATGACTCTAACAGCTCTCTGATTATGATGGATCAGCCTCTTTACTGTAAATCACATCCAACACTGTTTGTTAATATGGCTTGTTTCCTGCTTTACTGTCAGCTCTTTCTGATGTGTGCTCATAAATCTTCATCTAATATCCCAGACCCTAAATAACTCGGAAGTATTATGGTTAAGGACTTTTAGTGTGGTTTACACTGTAAAAAATCACTTCATAATCAATATATACAGTATAAATCCTTCAAATAGTGTGCAAGAGATCACATATACAGTAGTGAAGGGTGCTTGTTAGACAAAACCGTCACCAATATATGAATTACACCCCAAACATTCTGTTCGTTACGGGATTGCATTTTATAAGATTTAATTTTCTTCCTCGAGTTCCTCCACATTTTCGACCATGTTACTAAAACAGTGTGTTTTTATGTAAGCAGAGCATGCAGGGATTTCCAGAGGAACAAAAGATACATTCAGAACCGTGTCGCTGGTGTTCGGTTCCTGGAAACAGCCTGAGACAAAAGCGTAATATTTTTCTATAAAGGGGTAAACGAGTTTTCAGCTGGTCCTCTGATCTTTCTACGCTTCATGAGGACGTGGCCCTGAAGCCATCACAACCTCGCTGTGTTCATGGGAACAGTTGGATGTCCTGCTACACTTCTGTGTGTTACATAGAGAACTGTGTGTTGTGTTTTGCAAAAAGTGTTTTATGAAATTGAAAACTGAGTCAAAGTCTGAGATCAGTGTATGGTTTTGTAGATTTGGTGTGTGCTTCTGCTGTTTGAGCGTCAGCTTTCAGAAACTGTGTGACAAGAGAAGATTGTGTGTGTAAGCAGCTGAAAAAAACTAATATCTGTCCACAATGAGCTATTGAGCAGAGCTGCTGTTATTCTCAACAACACACATCTGGAGCTCGTCTGTCAAACTGTGTTTATGGGCAGTGAGGACATGACTTTCATATCGCTCAAAACACAACCGTAAACTGTCAATGAACAGTGTGAATACTAGCGTGTCTGGGTTTATCTGATACGCGCCGCTCAAAGATCATGAAACCTTTTCTGGCCAAAATATACTAAAAATGTATTTCAGGGGCAAGAAAATAGATTTCTAATCTTACAGTAGCCTACATTTAGGCTTGTTTTAAAATTCAAATGTGTTATAGGCTCACATGTGTTACAGATAATAAAGTTTTCCTTCAAATGTGACACGTGAATCTATTTTATGAGATTGAAATATATGGAGAGTAAAATATAGGCTATTTACTAAAAATATATTTATATTTCTAAAATGTATTTTCAAAAAATGGACAAAGTATATTTGTAGAAGGGTCATTCTTCTTTTGGTATGGCAAGATGTCTTAAAATGTATTTCTTATTCTAACATTTAAACTTAGACCACATTATTAGATTACCTTTTGACTTTTTGAAAAAAAAAATGTGTGCATTTATTTAGCCATATGGAAGGTGACACCAGTGACAATTTTCATGAAAAATTTATTTTATAAAATATTTGCTGCAAGGTATCAAAACACATGTTGTCGATCATGGTATACTCACTAAAGTAAGTAGTTTAATCCATTTGTATTTTAGTTTTTTACAGTTCCCTGACAATAAAGCAGGTCATGCCAGTGAGTTCAACTAAAAGCTTCATATGAAATCATGAGATGAATTCTGAAAACTGAACAGAGGCAATCTTCATAGATCTTCAGGAAACAGGAAACAGGAAGTCAAGTGATGTCATCAGCGTGATTTTTATTTCAAAATAAACGATTTTTGTTAAACAGTAACACCAGTGACACAACTCCAGGGGACCATTACTTTCATTATACATTTTATAAATTTATTCAGCATTTAGTTTTTTTTAACGCCATTTACATCATATATTTGATAGTTATGAATACATTATTGTATTTTAAATGGTAGAAAAACCTGTTTTTGACCTCAAAATATAGCACTTTCCCTCTGAACATGCAGTTTTGTGCTGTCTGGAATTCCATATAAAATAGAATATTCCACGCTGATGGCTCAAGAAGGTGCAATTGTTCAAATAACATATTGTTTCATTTTAAAATATAAATAAATTGTAACCCTAAAGTGTTTTTAAGTGTAATATTTCTGTAAAGGCTAGGGACAAAAAAATGGACATTTCCATAGAAAGACCCAGGAAACATATTTGCATAAATATATTTTTAAAGCATATTTTAGCAATTTGAAATGCATTGAAAAATATATTTGAGACCGCCCAAAATATCGCACTATATATCCATCAAGCCCTATTCAAACCGGAAAGTGATACTTTTACGGAAACACTGATGAGATACAAAACCAGACATCAAACAGAAAAAATACGCGTTCAGTTCACAAAACACATTCTCGGTGGTTTACACCATAAATATATATATTTATATATCTACACAATCATTAGCGGCTCAGCATCACTCACCTGCCGCCTGCTGGAGAGCCGAAGCCACTACCATCGAAAGAAGTATTCAAAGATATTTCATGATGGAGCCGCGACGAACATCTTTATTTGATTCCGAACAATTCAGCGTTCAGCGGTGTGACGGAAACACATGGAAAGCGAAATACGTTCCTTAACGTGATTCCGAGTATAACCGGTAGATGGCAGCAACGTCCAGGAATAAACAAACCATCATTTCAGACACAAAACACGATCAAGAAACATCGAGATATACAGGAATCCAGGTTAAATTGTAAAGGCCATTGTTTTGTTAATTTATAAGACTAAATACAAGGTTAAGATCTTGTAAGACCAAGTAAAAAAAGAAGAAGGAGTTAATGTGACCCTGGAGCACAAAACCAGTCATAAGGGTCGATTTTGTGAAATTGAGATTTATGCATCATCTGAAAGCTGAATAAATAAGCTTTCCATTGATGTATGGTTTGTTAGGATAGGACAATATTTGAAAATCTGGAATCTGAGAGTGCAAAAAAATCTAAATATTGAGAAAATCATCTTTAAAGTTGTTCAAATGAAGTTCTTAGCAATGCATATTACTAATCAAAAATTAAGCTTTGATGTAGGAAATTTACAAAATATCTTCATGGAACATGATCTTTACTTAATATCCTAATGATTTTTGGCATAAAAGAAAAATGTATAATTTTGACCCATACAATGTATTGTTGGCTATTGCTACAAATATACCTGTGCTGCTTATGACTGCTTTTGTGCTCCAGGGTCACATATAGACTTGAACACAGCATGGTAATATAGTCTCTGATTGTACAGAAGATAAAGAATATTAAAGTCTTGTTTTCTGTGAAACTGATCAAAAAGATGCGAGTTTATGCTTAAAACAAGGCTTAAATCTGCCAATGAGCTCAGAAAAATCAACTTCATTCAAGTTTTCTGACAGATATTTGTTCGTGTTTTAAGCATAAACTAATTTATTTTTGTTCAATTTATAAAACACTTTACATTTGCAGTAAATGCATCTTGATTTGAGAATGTTTAGATATTTATATTTAGTCATTTAGCAGATGCTTTTATCCAAAGCGACTTAAAAAATGAGGACAATAGAAGCAATCAGAATCAACAAAAGAGCAATGATACGCAAAGATATTTATATTGGAAAACAAAAATACACAGGCGGATATTGTTTTTTGCAGTGTATGCAACATTTAATGCCACGTCTTTTTAAGGCGTTCATTTGTGGAAGGACGAATGAAGAGTTTTTAAGACCCACAGAAACCCTGCAGTTAAAAAGAGACACTATGCAAAACCATATGGCCACGACAGCATGAGCAATCAGAATGAGTATTAATAGTCTGCATTGAAAACACTGGTTTATTTAGTGCTACATTAATCATTTGTTCACATGTAAATATGTGCATGAAAATGAAAATGCTCAGGTGATGAAAACATCTCTTCGTGAATCGTAACACGCCAGCTTTAAACCATGTACGAGTCAATATCACAATCATGAGATCATTGAAAACCATGTATTTCTCCGTCTGTGTTGCTCGCTGTACATCTTAATACATGCATGTATTCCAACAATAAAAGCATGAAATACTGCATCTTGTCTTTGTCTAAAGCACCAAACCTCTCAGTCACGGATCCGCTTCATATGGACGTGTAATGCTTGCTGTAGTTGCTCAGCTTGATTTTCTCCGGCAGGATGATGTTGAGCGAATGCTGCTCTCTCTGCTGATCTCTCTGCTGTCGCACCAGCTGGCTGTACTTGGCGTTCGCCATCCACGTCTCGCAGCGGGTAAAGAAGACGATGCCCGTCGTGACCAGGACCACCAGACAGGTGAGGAGACCCAGGACGGAGAAGCAGATGATCTGGCTGCGGGTGACCAGCGGACCGGACTCAGACTCGGCCGGACGCAGCAGCAGCTTGTGGAAAGCGTGAGCCGGACCTGAGGCTTTCACTCGGGGTTTGTGCTTGAGCTGGCTGATGTGGAGCTCACAGGACGAGCCGGTGAATCCAGCTGGACAGAAGCAAGAGGAACGGCTGTCAGAGCCACTCGTGTTCACGCAGGTTCCTCCATTCTGACAGCGAGAGCTGCGCATGAGAGCAAACACATCAGTTAAAAACACAGTTAAAAAGTCATGTCTTTGCATTATTTGTGTCCCTGCAGCACAAAAGCAGTGTTAAGTCGCTGGGGTATATTTGTAGCAATAGCCAACAATACATTGTATGGGTCACAATTATACATTTTTCTTTTATGCCAAAAATCATTAGGATATGAAGTAAAGATCATGTTTTATAAAGATATTTTGTACATTTCCTACCGTAAATATATCAAAACTTAATTTTTGATTAGTAATATGCATTGCTAAGAACTTCATTTGAACAACTTTAAAGATGATTTTCTCAATATTTAGATTTTTTTGCACTCTCAGATTCCAGATTTTCAAATAGTTGTATCTCGTCCAAATATTGTCCTATCCTAACAAACCATACATCAATGGAAAGCTTATTTATTCAGATTGATGTATAAATCTCAATTTTGAATTGAGCCTTATGACTGGTTTTGTGTCCAGGGTCACATATAGCAAAATATCAAAACAAGTGACACTTTTTAATTAAAATGTTACACAAATGTAGTTTGAAAATATGAAGCAATAAACATATTGTTTATAAAGTCTTAGACACTTCAACACTTCGTTTTTTTGGCCTGAATAATGACTCTGTTGTGTTTGCTGTACAGCTGAATCAAATTTCCTTCATGATTGATGAATTTTGCAATATTGACACTGTTATTGAACTGAATTAAACCAACACTGAACTGAACTGAGCTGAAAAACTACACTGTTGTCTGCTTTACAGCAGAATTTGAGTTTGTTTGAAATTTGATTAAGTTTGCGTCACTGATTCTGGTATTTTGCTGTTTATTACTGTGAAGCTGCTTTGAAACAATCTGTATGGTATAAAACATTACAGAAATAAATGTGACTTGCCTTGAAAAATCACCTCCAGATCAGCTGATTCAAAATAAGAACAGCTCAAGCATCATTTGTGTTCCAGTGTCACTTGGTTTGCATCTAATGCAATGAAGTTCAGACATGTTTAAGTGTAAAGATGTGCTGTTATCATCTAATCAGAGGTTTGCACGCTTGAGCAACTGATGTAGCTTCATTAATGAGCATTCGATGTCTTTGTAAAGTCAAATAAGGATGATCAATGCAGTCAATAATTAATGGCAGCGGTGGCTGATCTCAGCTCAATAGCAGCATCGTTATGTGAGTGATTTTTCTGACTATTTTTTCACTCCACAGACGTTTAACAGAGGAAACAGTCTGTTGTTCCGTCTCTGCTTCAGTGAGAATCAGTTACCTGTTCGCTGAACACGGTCCTTTCTTCAGCTGGCAGTTTTCCCCTGTGTATCCAGGAGAACAAAGGCAGACGTGTCCTCCTCCTCTGGTCTCCACACAGGTAGAGTTTCCCGAGCAGGGCTTTGATGAACACCGGTGAACCTCTGAGAGAAAACAACAGATTCACACAGTTACTGTCACAGCACACCTCCACCGTTCACACAACAGCTGCTGTATGCTGAAGCACTTCTCTCTGACAATACTGAGCAATCAAAGAAGAATCCAGAGGAAAGATCACAGTGTGCTGAGTTAAATCAATCTATTTCAAAGAATTCTGGTCATGCATGTTCATCTGATGCTCCTATATAAAGTACTGTAGGACTCTGGACCTCGATCACAGCGCGCTCCCGTCCATCCGTGCTCACAGATGCACTGCCCGGGTTCTTCACACGCTCCGTGAACACAGTCAGGTGAAGGAACACACTGATCACACGCCGCACCGCGCCAACCTGCTCTGCACCTGTAACCACACACACACACACACACAAACACACACACACGCACGCACGCACGCACGCACACACACACACACACAAAGACACACACACACACACAGACACGCACGCACGCACGCACGCACACACACACATATCCATTCCAATGTGTCACTGACCTTTAATTGCTTCTTAAGAACATATGTGTCCCTGCAGCACAAAAGCAGTCATAAGCAGCACAGGTATATTTGTAGCAATAGCCAACAATACATTGTACGGGTCAAAATTATCAATTTTCCTTTTACGCCAAAAATCATTAGGATATTAAGTAAAGATCATGTTCTATGAAGATATTTTGTAAATTTCCTACCGTAAATATATCAAAACTTAATTTTTGATTAGTAATATGCATTGCTAAGAACTTCATTTGAACAACTTTAAAGATGATTTTCTCAATATTTAGATTTTTTTGCACCCTCAGATTCCAGATTTTCAAATAGTTGTATCTCAACCAAATATTGTCCTATCCTAACAAACCATACATCAGTGGAAAGCTCATTTATTCAGATTTCAGATGATATATAAATCTGAAAAAAAAAACAAAAAAAAACGGACCCTTATGACTGGTTTTGTGGTCCAGGGTTACATACATGAGGCTCTTCCAGTGATATATTAAAATCTCTCACACACTGACAGCATTCAGTTGTTCAATAGTTTCTTAAAAGGTTAATGACGTCTAACACACACACACACACACACACACACACACACAAACATCACTGAACTAAACTCCACCCATCACCAATCTACACACACAAACACCACTGAACTAAACTCCACCCATCACCTATCTACACACACAAACACCACTGAACTAAACTCCACCCATCACCTAACTACACACACAAACACC